GCGTAAAAAAAAGATCTTGCAACTTATAATATTGAAAAATTATAATTTACTTTATTGAGTTTAGAGAAATCTATTGTAAATTTAACTAAAAATATTAAATAAACTTGAAATTATTAAAAATTAATTTAAGCATTAAGACTATTACGTGAGTTTCTATAAAATTCTTGCTTTCCACTTCTCCTATTGCACTGAACGATCTAAATCCTTATGAAAATTTCTCAACCAAAATGATGTCATATATTCAAAACATTTCTACCAAAACAATGTTCCGCCTCCAATATAAACAAGAACATGACCATTTGATATAGTATGATGATCGTGCACACCAAAATCTTTTTGGATCAATATAAGGTTATCTTCAGCACCCAATTTAATCTAAATATATCCAAGATTATTTTGTGCTTCTATTTTGTCGAAACATCAACACCCGGTATGTTATGAACGCATTGATTCAATGAAAGATGCTCTTTTTTCTTCCATTTCATTATCGGATTCCCAAGGCATTGAATGATGATTTGCTGATTATCAGCTTTTGATAGATTATAACATTTTATAATGCTTTGAGATAATAACCTATTTTTTTTTGAAAAAATAAATAAATAAATAAATTTGGTTAGATATACTGTAAAATCTAAAAATTTCCGAAAATGAAGGAGCGAAAGTTACGAATATTTCATAAGCACAAAAAGTACTTTCACTTCTAAATGGACAGATAATTATAAGGAAAATGTACTCTTATAGACTCATTGGTATGAAACCTTCAGTATAAAATTAATGATAACTTACTTTATGACCATCAAAGCAGAACTTTTTTATAGACATTTTCCTTCATCGTTTTAGCTTCGATATATATTTATTTTCTTAAACAGTTAGGAACTTTCAACACGAAGAAAGAAATGAAAGAAGTTCAAAAAGAGTAAGAAATGAGGGCTTGAAGACGCGAAATTTATACGTAGGGAAAAAGAGAAAATTTTGAAGTTAACTAAATACTTTAGAACAACTCTCATGTAACTTAATTGGCCCCATATTTAGATGATGTATCAGCTAGCCAGTAAGGGTGCAAAAAAATATAGGAAATCTAAATTCACGTCTGTTAAAAGAAATCTATCAATATTAATCAGAAATTATGATGAGGTTAATCTTCTATCGCATTGAAAGGTCGTATAATGCTTATATATACATTTGGCTAATTCTACGTTAAAATCTAACACTGGACATATGAGACCGTAAAATTTGCACTAGAATTGTTATATTGGCAAGACTTCATAAATGTGCTCGAGAATTGGATCTAGTGTCACGTATTGTTTCAGATACTTCCATCATGTTTCCTGAATCGTTATTCAATGGCTTTTGCATAATGATGATGCTAAACTGTCAAAGGTGATCAAGTTGTGGACATTTTGTGTCGGAATCATACAAACATTTTTCCCTTGTTAATTAATTCTTTCAACAATTATTTGTTAACCCAGCTCAATGGTTGATTTATAAGCTTATGATATTGTAAATTCAGGCGTTCATCATGTAATTACTTCTGGAAAAGATATCTACCTTATTCAATACTTACTGCTGTTGATCCAGAAAAAATATAAAAGAAAGGGATTATTCTGCAATGAATTAGGGTAGGGTAGCTTCCGCTATCACTCAAGTTCTAAAGGTGGAGAATTCAATATCTAACAATTGTATTGGCTATGCACATATTAAGCTAAAAGGACTGATGATATGAAGACATTATTTAAAGGATCAATCGTAGAAGATACTTTAATATGTGTATTATTTGAACGTGATGAAATAGGTCAAGCTTTCTGATTGTAAGAGTCTGAGTTTCTACATCTCGTTTATGCTTAGCATGGATGAAATCACAGAAATGGATTATTGAAATAATCAACTAGACTAGCGTAAATTGTTTGTTTATTATATTTCAATCATTTTATGCAGATCCTGCTTATCCACCGGATCGTAGGATTCATATCCAAGAAATTAGTTGATACATTCCTGCATTAGAAAATATAGTTAAGGAGGTTGATATTAACGGGATGTGCTAGACTCAGTTTGGTATTGTGTTCTGCAATAAATGCTGTAATTATTAGATTAGGTAGCATTGGAATTTTAAATTTTACAAGTGAAAGTACTCGAACTTAAAATGGTAATATAAAAAATATTTTCCTTTATCTTCATTAATGTATTAATGCTGTTCTCGTATTAACATTCTGTTCTTTTATCATGCGGGTTAGGTAGCATCATTTTTTCTAACGTATTATTATCCATGGATGTCAATTTCTGATAAGGAAAGGTTTATAACGTTAAAATTGCTTATGATC